CAGCTATTGTTCTCAACTGAGGCCCTTGACCTATTGTCAGAGTTAAAAAAAATTGATTTATAAATAAATCAATATCATCACTTCATGATCTCTTGGTCGACTTTGGTTTCATGTGCAGCGCCCTCATTCATTTGTGTACAACTCCCTCAATTCAATCTTTCCGGCTTGTTTGGTTCGTTGCTCAATCTAAGACTACCTGACAGCACTGTCCAATTAATCATTACTTTCATTTTGTCTTTCTAAATTGTTTGTTTGTGTTTGAAGATATGTGAAGAGGAGCCCTGTTGTGAGGGAATTTTGTTTTCAGATTTCCTTTAACCAGCTTAAAGATCAGTATCAGCTGAATGGAAATTCCATCTCCAGTTTTAAAAACCATATAATTTTCGTCTAAATAGGAAGTACATTATAATAAGATTATGATTGGTAAATCCGGATAAAAATTTTGATAGATAGATAGATGCAAAATGTATTTTCCATGTACATCAGTTGGCATGGCTATGTTTGGAAGGAGATTATATTTATAGGACTTGCACACCCATTTAAAGCCGCATTGTAAACATATTTATGGTCAAGAAGAGCAACACCTTTTTTTTTTTTGTTTACTGATTTTCTTATTCAAAATGAATTTAAGATTGTATCATGGTGATTTATTGCAAGAATGATTGCTCATCACAGGTTCTTAAGCATTGAAATAAGAGCTAAAAGATAATAGACGGTTAATCTCTTTTTACAAAATTCAAATTTTTGATTGGGGTCTTCAAAGTTGACCTCAGTAGCATTTAAATGTAAATTGGCCAATTTGTCTTATCGGATTTTTAATTTAGCTAAGTTAGACATTGAGAAACCTATGAGTTTCAGTTGTGCTCTGCAGGCATCAAGTGGTCTCCCCAGAAATTTTAAATTAGAAGGCAGAAATTAGCAGAAAATTTGTTAAATACTAGTGCTCAATCAGACTCAGTTTATTCCCAGTAGTTAAATGGGTTCTAAAAAAGTCTGCCGATGATCTTTGTTGTTTTCATTATGCCTTCATTTTACTACTAAAAGCTGGTATCTTCAAAAAAAATATATGGAATATTATTGCTGCTATGACATGCATGTGAATTTTATGAGCATTAAATTTTGGAGGCATTGTGGTTGAGTGGTTAGGGCATTGGACTAGTCTTGTGGTCTCAGGTTCAGCTTTTCACCCCAATACTCACTGTTTTGTTTTTGGTTGCCCTAAGTTTAACTCCCAAGCTGTGCTTGTAAAAAGCTTACTGGTCTGCCCCATGACTAGTTGGGATCTTTGTTTTTGCAATGTTTATTTACAATTTGTATGAATTGGCCCTGAGAAGCCCTACTGGGGAAGTGGTCAGTGATTATTAACTATCATTATGATTGAAATTGAACTTTATGATAATGAAAATGCTGTCAGAACATTTTCAAGAAATTTACCATTATTCAGAATCACTTTTCTTTAAAACAGTTAACTGACCAGGAACTAATATTATTGTCGTCTCTATTTCTACAGTCTTGTTGCAGCTGAGTGAGGGAAGCAAGTATCTCAAGAGGATCACAAACTTTAGAGAGAGAAAAGGGACATTATTTGGTGAGTCTTGCTTCTTGGGGAGTTCTTCTACTCTGAAAAAGGGTTTCTTTTTGTTAAAAAAAGTGTCCCTCTTCTGTGCAAACATCCGCTTGGAACTACTTCTATTGATGACAGAGCCCATTCTATTTCACACGTACTAATATAATAATTGTTTTTTTCATTATTCTCTAACAAAGTTAGAAAGGAAAAGGTAGGAGTTAAAACTGTTCCCTCATAATATAAATTATTTTCAGAACATTGGCAATTTATTAGAATGGTTATGGCACAATTTCTTAGAATGGTTATGGCACAATTTCCAGCTGAATACAGCATAAGAGACATACAGGATGGTAGGGTGTACCAAAAATTGATCTAGTATGATTGTTGTGCCAGAGGGAAGAAAGTAATTTTAATTGTATATAGTTAGCAGTGATGGGACACCTTTGATTAAGTAATCATTGGCCACTTATTTGTTTTCTTGAGGAGTTACCTCCCCAAGGAAGATAAAAATTTGAAAACATCCCACTTACTGGGCTGTGGCATGGGAAGTCTAAACCACATGTGCCACCATTTTTGAAACATTTTACTAGTGAATTATTCAATATGGCAGATGGTAGTAATTTTAACAATGAAACATGTGAACTTGTGTCATTAGTGTGCAGAATCCAATCTGTTGTACCACACCTGCCTGCCAAAGCCTTGCTTTTAAATATCAAGCAGCACAATCATGGTAAATTTGGCTACAGTATGTGCAAACATCCAGGGAGGTATACAGTCATTCTGACCGGCAAATACGTGCAAGGCTGTATGAATACTGGCCTTCTGGTACTGTGGCTGTCAGAACAGCACAAGAAACCAGGATGTTTGGGAGAATTGGGGAGGCAAGAGGCACCACAGTGTTTGGCATTAAAAGAGAAAATGTGTTTCATCAATTGGTTGACATTTCAGACAATTTACCTATTGACTGGATGCATTGTGTTTGCAAAGGCATCCTGAAAAGACAGCTATTCAAACCGTGGTTCAATCCTCAGTATGCTACAGAGTCAAACAGTTTGCTAGGAATTAGTCATGAGCTAGACAATATGTTCCCTTCTATCAAAGTGCCACATGACTTTACCAGAAAGCCATGTAGTATTGCTGAATTTAACACTGGAAAGCATCAGAATTTCATTTGTTTGCCTTCTTTGCTGGACTTCCATGTCTTCAATCTGCTGTACTTTCTGTACTATCACTTTGCACTATACTGCTCTTCATTTCCTGCACTCAGTTCCTATTTCCAAACCTTGCGTAGAGGAGGTTCAAGTTTTGCTTGATAACTTTGTGAAACTTTTACCAAGTTTTTATGGTATTGAAGAGTGTACATACAACTCCCATGCTTAATTCCACTTCTCTTTCCAAGAGTTCTTGGCCATGGTTCCTTAGCACTTACTTCTGCTTTTGTATTTGAAGCATTCATTGCTCACCTTATAAATCTGTTCTCTGGAACAAGGGGACTCCCAAAGCAAATGGTGGAAAAACTAGGAGTAAGCCAAACCTACAGGGTGCTTGTTTCACAGAACCTTCTAATAAGCACCCCCCTATCTGATAAGCACCCCTCTCTAATAAGCACCTCCTCTCTAATAAGCATCCCCTCTCTAATAAGCACCCCCTCTCTAATAAGCACCCCCTCAAATGAGCACCCCTTCTCTAATAAGCACCCCCTCTCTTCTTAGCACCCACTCTCTAATAAGCACCCCCTCAAATAAGCACCTCTCTTATAAGCACCCCCTCTCTAATGAGCAACCCCTCTCTAGAGAGCACCTCTCTGATAAGCACCTCCTCTCTAATAAGCACCCCTTTTAAGCATCCCCTTCAAATAAGCACCACCTCTCTAATAAGCACCCCCTCTCTAAGATGCAGCCCTCTCTAATAAGTTCCCCCCTCTTATAAGCACCCCCTCTCTCATAAGCACCTCCTCTCTCGTAAGCACCTCCTCTCTCAGAAGCACCCCCTCAAATAAGCACCCCCTCTCTCAGAAGCACCCCCTCTAATAAGCACCCCCTCTCTTATAATCACTCCCACTCTAATAAGCATCCCCTCTCTAATAAGCACCCCCCTCTTATAAGCACCTCTCTCTCCATGTAGTTTTCGTCTAAGGTACTAAGAAGTACATTATTATAAGATGATGACATTGACTGCGCTTTGTGATTTTCAGATTTCTCTTACCAGCATAAGGATAGCAGCTGAATGAAAATTCCATTACCAGTTCTAAAAACCATATCATTTTCATCTCAGCTAGTGAGAAGTATATCATTATGAAATGATGACATTGACCACGCTTTGTCTCCCAATGATGATCTGCCTTAACAATTAGATGCCACAAAAAATTTATATTTTTGATGCGAATAATGATCTTTTACTTTTTATGGTCAGAGTGGCAGCTGTTTGTGAACCGCGCGATGTGGTTTCCGCGAGTCGATAGCTTGCGGCCAGATTACTATTTTGACTTTGAAAATGGCAGCGTCGATAGTCAACTTCTTACCTCTTGAATTTTTTTGGCTTTGAAATCTGAAAACACGGTAGTAGAGATGTAATTTTTAGATACACTTTTATGAGCTAAGAAAGAAATCACTTGGTTTCAGTTCCCTTAAGAAGGTTAGACAATATTGTTGTCTTTCCACTGCCGTCATCAAACCAATGATCATCAAAGAGGTTATTCCATAATAGTTGGATCGGTTCTTTTAAACCTTGTCTATCGGCTTATCTGCGTACATCACTCAAATGCATTTTGTTGAAAGTGAATCATGAGAATGATTTAAATGTTTCAAGAGAAGATTAAGGCCATTATTTTCTCTTGACTGTTTCAAGTGTTATTGTCAGTGAGAAAATTTCCCAGAAAGTGGAGACATGGATTAGCCTACGTGTAGCCGTACCCTCCCCTCCCCTCGCCAAGTACGGCTACACGTAGGCTGGACATGGATGAACCAATTTTGAAGAAACTTGCTGTCGAGGATGGCCTTAATAGATAGTCGAAAAGCCTTAAAGTTGTTGACTATATAAAAATAATCATATTTCTATTCAAAAGAGTCCAAAATAACTGCGAGTATTGGGAAAACGGCTCTAAAGTTCTGGGTGCTTTCGATTGGTAAATCCGGGTTAAAATTTTGAAATACAGATTTGCAGTAAAAAATGAAAAGCAAAAACGGATTTCGACGCTGAAAAATCTGTCCCCAAGGTGGATTTCCATTAAAAATCCCGAGCTAATATATATATATATTTTTTTTCGTTTTCCTTTTTGGATTTCCCGGAAAAACGCAAAACATGGAAATCCATGAGATCTGGAGTTAGATTTCTTAATTGAGATCCACTATGAGGATGGATTTTTCAGCGTTGAAAGTCGTTTTTAGATTACGTGTTTTACCGCAAAATCCGAATTCCCGATTTCAAAATCAAAATCCAGATTCGTTGAAGTTAAGAACTCAGATTTTTCTTAAAACAATGTCTTCTTTCTGATTGGCCAAGACTAGCTCTCAACCCAGTTTCTTAGCAGCCACATTCAAAATGGCGGACGAGCTGCCACGAGTTCAGGACTGAAAGAACCGATGTCGCACTGAATAGTCAGTTTATTTTGACAATTGTGTTACATTTGATGACGGATGATGATGACCAATCCTAAAAATCGTCTAATCTTCACTTTGTACATCGGATGTGTTCAGTAACGTCTTTCTACCATGTTGAAATTCTAATGTTTACCAGGAACCCCTCGACAGGTGAGAGATCTTCAAAGAACTTTGACAATGAAATGTATGTTATTACATAGGAACGTTACTTACTCATCTTCACAAATGTTGCACTGATCACGAAGGAATGGGGTGATGGACAAAACAATGATCTCCTGTCCACAGACTTAGTTACGCCCGTTGGACAACTCAAATGAACTATCCTAACATGCACCAACCCTTCGATTTCTTTTGTTTTGTTTTCGTTAATCACAACAAACTCCACGAAATTTGGGCGATTATTTTAAACATTCAAAATCCTCTCCTCGAAATGTAGCGTGATCCAAGTCATGTTACATTCTTCAATATCGGTCACGAACTAAGGCGAGAAATCGATAATTTTAATTGTCCTTAAGCTTCAGTATATAGATTTGACGCAGATGCAAAATGTATTTTTCATGTACATCAGTTGGCATGGCTTTGTTTGGAAGGACTTGCATATGTTTTGGAGGACTTGCACTTCCATTTTAAGCCGCATTGTAAACATATTTATGATCAAAAGAGCAACACCTTTTATTCTTTTTGTTTAATGATTTTATTCTAAATGAATTTAAGATTCTATCATGGTGATTTATTGCGAGAATGATTGCTTATCACAGGTTCTTAAGTATTAAAATAAGTGCGAAAAAATGATAGAAGGTTAATCCCTTTTACAAAATTCAAATTTTTGATTGAGTTCCTTAAAGTGGACCTCAAAAGCATTTAAATGTAAATTGGCCAATTTGTCTCATCAGATTTTTAATTTAGCTTAGTTAGACATTGTGGAACCTAAGTTTCAGTTGTACTCTGCAGGCATCAAGTGGTCTCCCCTGTTATTATTAAGGCAAAGGGCAGAAATTGTAATTTCTGTGGCTTTTGGAATAATTCTCACCAAAGTATCTTTTGCAACAAGTTTCATTGTAATCAGTTATCCCTTAGTGTGGCTCTGTCCTCTGAAACACTTTCTTGTAGACAAAGAGACTTGAGAATGTTTGTTATTTATAAACTGTGTGGTGTAGGAAATGGATTTGAAAAGAAACTAAATGAATCTTAATTTGTAAAACTTCTTTTAAAATGAAGAATTTTGGATAAATTAGAACAAGTAACAGATTGTCTCTGTTACTGAGTGCCTTTTAAACTATAACAGAAGCACTTTGATTGAAGATTGTTGTTACCTTTGCTTTTCTTTTTTGTGAGTGAGTTAAAACTGGAAAACAGAAGAGCATTAAGTATCTTTCTTTTAAAAGACATAAATTTAGTTAAGGCAATTTCTCTGAAAAAAAATTGTTGAATAATTGTCCTTAAACTTTCCTTAAATGTTCCTTACAAATGTCTCTTTAGAAAAATACATTAATTTTAAAAAAGATAAGTCAATGTGCTTGTCTAGGAGATTAAATAATGGGCCAAACATACCCCATTTATGCCTGTACAGTGGCACTAATCAATGAGTGTCATTTCATCAGTTCACAGTACATTTTGCTGCAGGTGGAAGCTAAGGTTTTTAAAGTAACCCTTGAAAATAACTTGATACGGTACATAGAAAGTTTGGAGCATATGGAACAATTTCGTATATAAATAGTAGGAAAATCAAGTAAATTTAAATGACATAGACTCAAAATGTTCCTTGAGTCGTTCCTTTCAAGATCATAATTTGAATCCTCAAGTAAAGGGCTAATTTGTGCATGCTTTAAGGTTTATCTTTTTTACCCTTTGGAGATTTTTTTTTTAAATCCCCAATTTAAAGGGGATAAATGGTACATGAAATTTATGCAATAAAAAGTATGGGTCACTGTGCTTGCTCATAGAGCTAAAGATGGTCGTGCCTCTTTACCTGGTCCATGGATTTAAAAACATTACCATGTTCTCGGAACTTGTGTGTGCTCATTTCCCAGATTACATGATTTTAATGTGCAATACAGGATACGCGGTGATAAAGTGAGGAATCACCCTAACATTTTCGTGCATTTTAACTCTGAATCAAGACACTAACAATTGGTTGAATTGCATGGAGTTTTCTTCTGGGCTCATCAAGGCAAGAAAAATGGGGTTAGTTAATTTCCAGGTAGGCATGTTGTTGACAATGTCCAAATTGTAGCTAGTGTAGTTGAACTCACAGCAGCTGAGAACAAATCCTTTAAGTAACAGGGTGAAGAGCTTGAAGTTGCTCTAAGGACTTGGTAACACAGCTTCCTTCACGTAAAACTGACATACATGTATGCAAAGGCCTCTTGACAGAAATTCACTTTCTTCATTTCTTGTTGTTCTTTTAATTTTTAGTCCTTCAACAAGTTTTTGTTCAAAGCGTTGAAGGAATGTTGGTCAATATAACTGATGCAGAGCAGGAAAACAACCTTTTTGAAAATTTTCAACAGTTGAGGAAAGTGTAAAGGTGATAAAATCTGCATTCATCATCCAACCAGAATCAAATCAGGATTTTATGTTAAATCAACATTTAAGTCCTTTTTTTTTTTTCTTCTTAACTGTTTCCATTTTATATTTTTTCTTAAGTTTGGTTGTTTTTTTCCCTTGGCCCAATTAGCTATAAAAACCAGGTATATAATTATATACCAGGTAAGCAGTGGCCAAATTAATCCAGTCATTTGGGTGAATTTTTTTTTTTTTTTTCATGATATGAGATAATTAAATGGTGATGTTTTTGAAGGCAGATTGAAGTGATAATGATAATAATGCTGAGATGACCTAAGCAGCAAAAGTTTGGGTGCAATGGACAACGTGCTAGATTAGTTTGAACTTTTTAAAGGAAACTACTTCATGAAGGCAAAAATAAAAATTCTTGGGTAATCTGCCATAAATATTTTAGTAATGTGATCTGTCTGTGATTAAATAAAGCAAAATCACTGTTGAGAATGACAAGTGGATACCATTCTTTTTTTTTTTTTTTTTTTAATAAATGTGAAACTAGGAGAAGAACCAAGCAATGAGAAAAGATAGAGTAAAATATAATACATGCATCATAACTTTTCTGACACATTGATGGTCTCATTTTGAATGACAGGTTTTTTAATCCTAGTGCTCAATTGGCTCAGTTCAAGCCAAGTTGTTAAATAGTTTCTAAAATAGTCTGTGAATGATCTTTGTAGTTCTCCTTGAGCCTTCATTTTACTACACCTTGTATCTTAAAATATATGTGGAATATTATTGTAAATGTGACATTCACATGAATTTTGTCAGCATTATTGGAGACATTGTGGCTGAGTGGTTGGGGTGCTTGACTTGTACTCTTGTGGTCCTGAGTTCAGCTCTTCACCCTGTTGCTCACTGGATTTGTTTTTAGTTGCCCCTAGTTTAACTCTTAGGCTGCGCTTTGTAAAAAGCCAACTGGCTTGCCTGTGTCCAAAATATCACAAGTTTTCAATAAGTATTCTCACTTCAGATAACCGAGGGCATCGCTGGTAAACATTGCTACCTCTGTGGTGACTGTTTTTTTCCCTTTGCATCTTAAATTTCAAGATTTCATAAGTTACTTAGGTTCTACAGGCAAATTACAGAGCGTAGTAAAGAAAAACCGATGGAATCACTCACTATTCTGAAAAGTTGATTGATTAACACTGTGAGCTTGAAGAACCAATACAGACAGAGTGTCCCCTATGACTGTTCATCATAAAAGAATTAATTATTGATGATACTTTCGCAGAAGATGTAAAACAGTTGGATTCCCTCTTGAACTCAAGACGTGTTGCGGAAACGGGAAGGGCAAGAAATGGCCACTAAGAAATGTAGGAACAAAGAGGACTGTATGACTGATGAAATGAAAATGTTTCAAAGAATTACTACGGAGGATGCTACGCCTAAACAAGTGAGTAATAGGTTAGCATGAACTAATGAGTTAACTGTTAAAATCAATAGCTTTTCTTACTGTTTTTAAAAACAGGTACCAAGTGATCAGTACCGTAATGATTCGATTTGGCGCCCTCGTGCTAAAAGCGCCCCCTCTGTGATAGGCACCCCCTTTCTAATAAGCACCCTCTCTAATAAGCACCTTCTCTAATATAATAAGCACCCCCTCTAATAAGCGCCCCCTCTAATAGGCACCTGCACATTCGAAGGTGGTTCATCTTCCTTTAATTGCTTACTTCAAACCGATTGTTCCACGGGAGCAGATCAGATTCCAACTACATTTATAAAGCTGGTGGCTGACCACTTGGCAGGCCCCCTTGCCAGGATCATAAACGTTTGTATAACTGAAGCATACTTCCCAAAGCTTTGGAAGATCGCTAGAGTGTCGCCCATACCCAAGGTAGACAACCCAACGACCAATGACGAACCAAGACCAATCTCGATATTACCGGTGTTGTCTAAGGTGTTCGAAAGGTTGGTCGGCTGGCAGATGTCGGAGTTCGCAAATAGCGCCTCTCTTCTTCATGATAACATTTCTAGTTTCCGTAAAGGGCACTCTACCACTACTGCCCTTCTTGGAATAAGAGATGATATAAAGCGCGCTATGAAAAGGAAAGAGGTCACCTTGATGGTTCTCGCCGATTTTTCTAAGGCTTTTGATACGGTTTGTTTCAAGACGACGCTAAAGAAATTCTACAAACTTGTCTTCTCCAAAAATTATTTAAAATGGCTCCTTAGCTATTCGTCTGGTCGAACACAATTCGTACAAATTGATGACACTAAATCAGCCACACCTCAAATTGTCACAGTTTGGAATACCTCAAGGATCGATCCTTGGGCCGATGATCTTCAATTTGTATGTATCAGACCTTCGAGACAACCTCGATCTATCCACGTCTTGTTCTCAGTACGCTGATGACACATCCCTCTACACCCACTGTGCAGTGAGGGAATTGGAATCACCGACGTACGATTTAAATGAATCCCTTACCGAACTTGGATCATGGTCTTAGGACTCTAACCTTGCCTTTAACCCTAATAAGACCAAATTCATGGTTCTCTCCACCCAGCAAATGTCATCCCATCACAAATTAGCAGATTGCGCACTTAATCTCACTGTCGGAGACAACTCTCTTAAGCGAGTCGAATCTACAAAGTTGCTCGGGGTTAACATCCACAGTAACCTCAAATGGGACGACCGTATCAAACATTTAGCTGCTTCATGTTATGGTACCTTAGCCACGCTTAAAAAAGTCAAGAACTTTACTAATTATAAGTTAAGAAAGCACCTTGCCGAATCGTTAGTTCTATCACGCTTAGACTTTAGTGACATTGTATTTTACCCGCTCAGTGAAAATCTGCTTAAAAAGCTTCAGCATATTCAGTTTTCCGCTGCCAGCTTTGTCACGGGTCACCATGAATACTCTACTTAAATTAAGCTGGTTACCAATGAGTGAGCGTCGGGACTGGCATTTACTTAAAGCAGCGCACAAAGCCCTGTATGATGAACATTGGCCCAGGAATCTGAGGCGTGAAACTGTACAACACGGTAGATGCTTACGTTCCAGCGAAACTATTAACCTTAAAATACCACTGGAGTCAGGCACATTTCAAGACTGTGCCGCTAAGCGTTTTAACTCCCTCCCGGCTGCAGTGAAATCCTGCCCGGACTTTAACGCCTTTCCAAAAGAAACTCATAAAATTTTAAAAGCTGCAGTAGATATTTCTAGAGATGCGCATGTAGATATTATTATAAGTAATTCTGATGTGTGCACAGTTCCTTCAAACGAATGATCACGCCTTCAAATTTTGCGACGACGATTTCTTGGCTATTCGTTCTGGCCAGGAAAGATCCAAGGACAGTATGTCCGTTCAACAGTCTTCTTGGTCCTTTTCAAATAAACATCAAAGCTTTGTTTGGAACAATTTGCTGGTTCTCAAAAAAAAAAATTAAATAAGTGCCGTGTTCCATAATAGCGCCCCGTTTCGAATAAGCGCCATCCCTCAAGGTATCAAGAGTAAATAAGCGCTCCGGGCGCTAAATCGAATCATTACGGTATGTACAAGAAAAATCAATATCGCTGAGCTTTTTTCATACTTGATTTTTTTTTCCCACGACGAAGAAAAGCTATAACAATTGCCAAAGCGACAATGGCTTCTGACTTTTCAGGCTCTTAAGTCGAGGATGAGGGAAAGAGTATTGCGGGAAGAAAAACAGCAAAAAGGGGGAGGGGGTGGGGAAGAGGCAGGTCCCCGCCCACACCACTCCCCTACCTGCCGCTTTATTCAAAGCTAATTCCAACAGGAAACTCTTCACAAACTATATCGACAATCAGGCACGTAATCAGATTGCGTATTAGCTAAGTAATGGGCCAACAGGTTTTAGATTGATGACAAGTAACATGACACGTTCATGCTACCAAAAACTCAACTGAACTTCGAAAGGGTGTCTATGTCAATCCCCCATTGTCAAGGTCTCTAAAAAACGCGATTGGTTAATTGATCAGATCACCCACGTCTCACGTGAATACCAAAAACATACCATAGGGGAGGGAAAGACAAAACTTGTTTCCGAAATATTGACGAAAAAATTAGAAAACTTTAATGACCAGGATTTGTAGATATACTTTGTTGAGAAAGTGCGAGGTCAAGATGACTGAACATGAGCTCAATTCCTCAGTTTCGAAGTTTTTGTCTCGGTCTATAACAGCAATTCAAAACGACAAGACCAAAATCCCACTATCCTGTACACCCGAAAAAAAAATTAATGAATAGAAAATAAAAATAGAAAATTTGCTAACGAAACTTTTTTTTTTTTTTTTTTTTTTTTTTTTTTGCTGTCTGCAACACTGTCGTAAAAACTGTTGGGAAACAATGTTTGCTGTTAAAAAAGGGGAAAAGGAAGAAATAAAACTGCAATCCTGTTTTATCAACGCGCATTAATACAGTAAAAAAGGAGGTACATGTCACTGTCAGTGGGCTCCTGTCAATGTACATGCCAGTTGGCTACGAAACTTTCTAATAAAATTAATTTTTTTTCCAGGGCATAAAGATGGTTTCTGGGAAAACGTCGTGGTCAATTTAGCAATGGCAAAGAAGAAGTTTGAAAGACTGCTCATTCACAAACTCATTTGAGCCATATTTAAGGAACTTCTTCATGGACTTACTCAGCTATTGTTCTCAACTGAGGCCCTTGACCTATTGTCAGAATTAAAAAAAAAAAAAAAGATTTTGAGTTATAAAAAAAACATTATTACTTCATGATCTCGTGGTCGACTCAAATGCATTTTGTTGAAAGTGAATCATAAGAATAATTTAAATGTTTCAAGAGAGAATAAAGGCCATTATTTTCTCTTGACTATTTCAAGTGTTATTGTCAGTGAGAAAATTTCCCAGAAAGTGGAGACATGGAGTAGCCTATGTGTAGCCGTACCCTACCCTCGCCAAGTACGACTACACGTAGGCTAGGCGTGGATTAACCAATTTTGAAGAAACTTACTGCCGAGGATGGCCTTAATAAGATGATCGAAAAGCCTAAAAGCTGTTGGCCTTATAAAAATAATCTTATTTCTATTCAGAAGAGTCCAAAATAAGCGCGTAAACTTGTGGAATATTGGGAAAACTGCTCTAAAGTTCTGGGTGCTTTCGATTGGTAAATCCGGATTAAAATTTTGAAATAGAGATAACGGATTTTGTTGTAAGAAATGAAGAGCGAAAACGGATTTCGACGCTGAAAAATCTGTCCTTTTTTTCTTTTTATAGCCAACGGTTAACCTCAGTGAGACCCCTCTTAGAGGAGATCCTTTTTGGATTTCCCGGAAAAACGCAAAACATAAAAATTCATGAGATCCGGAGCTGGATCTCTTAATTGAGATCCACTTTGAGAATGGATTTCTCAGCGTTGAAAATCGTTTTTGGATTTCATGTTTTACCGAAAATTCCGAATTCCCGATTTCAAAATCAAAATCCAGATTCGCAACAGTTAAGCACCCGGATTTCTCTGAACACGGCGTCTTCTTTCTGATTGGCCTAGACTTGCTTTCGACCCAGTTTCTTAGCAGCCACGTTGAAAATGGCGGACGAGCTGCCGTGAATTTAGAACTGAATCAATGTCGCACTGAAGAGTCGGTTTGTTTCGACAATATTGTGGTACATTTGATGACGGATGATGACGAATGATGAAGACCTGTTCTAAAAACTCGTCTGATCTTCACCTTGTACATCGGATGTGTTAAGTAACGTCTTTCTACCATGATGAAATTCTAATGTTTACTAGGAACCCTTCGAAAGGTGAGAGATCTTCAAAGAACTTTTAACCGATTCAGTGTCAATGAAATGTATCTTATTACATAGGAACGTTACTTACTCATCTTCTAACAAATGTTGCACTGATCACCAAGGAATAGGGTGATGGACAAAACAATGTCCTCCAGTCCATGGACTTAACCCCGTTGAACAACTCAAATGAACTACCCTAACATGAACCAACCCTTCGATTTTTTTTTGTTTTTTTCGTGAGTCACAACAAACACCACGAAATTTAGGCGATTATTTTAACATTCAAAATCCTCTCCTCGAAATATAGCGTGATCCAAGTCATGTTACATTCTTCAATATCGGTCACGAAGTAAGGAGAGAAATCGATAATATTAAATGTCCTTCAGAATATAAATTGACGCAGATACAAAATATATTTTCCATGTAAATCAGTTGGCATGGCTATGTTTGGAAGGAGATTATTTTTAAAGGTTTTGCACACCCATTTTAAGCCGCATTGTAAACATATTTATGGTCTAGAAGAGCAACACCTTTTTTCTTTTCGCTTTTTCTGATTTTCCTATACTAAATAAATTTAAGATTCTATCATGGTGATTTATTTCGAGAATGACTGCTTATCACAGGTTCTTAATATAAGAGCTAAAAATAATAGACTGTGAATCCATTTTACAAAATTCAAACTTTTGATTGGGTTCTTCAAAGTTGACTCCAATAGCATTTAAATGTAAATTGGCCAATTCGTCTCATCGGATTTTTAATTTAGCTAAGTTAGACATTGAGAAACCTAAGTTTCAGTTGTGCTCTGCAGGCATCAAGCAGTCTTCCCTGGGATTGTTAAATTAAAAGGCAGAAATTGTAATTTCTCTTGCTTTTGCAATACCTCAACAAAGTATCTTTTGCAAGTCTCATCATAATCAGTTATCCCAAAGCATGTTTCAGTGTCTTTTGGAACACTTTGTTGTAGACAAAGAAACTTAAGAATAAGTGCTATTATAAACTGTGTGGTGTAGAAAATGAATTTGAAAAGAAACTAAATGAACTTTAATTTGTTAAACTTCTTTTAAAATGAAGAATTTGTAATAAATTAGAACAAGTAACAGATTGTCTCTGTCATTGAGTGCCTTTTAAACTATAACAGAAGCACTTTGCTTGAAGATTGTAGTCACCTTTGCTTTGCTTTGCAAGAGAACTTCGGAACTGGCTTGATTTATTTCATGTGAACAAATTGAAACTGGAAAAAAGAAGAGCATTCAGTATCTTTCTTTTAAAAGACATTAAGTTAGTTTAGGTGATTCCTCTGAAAAACAATTTATTGAACAATTTTCCTTAAACTTTCCTTAAAAGTTCCTTGCAAATGTCTGTTTGAAATGATACATAAATTTTGGAAAAGATAAGTCACTGTGCTTGTTTAGGAGATATAAGTGGCCAAACATACCCCATTTATACCTGTACTGGCACTAACGATGTGTGTCATTTAATCAGTTCACGGTACATTATGCTGCAGGTGGAAGCTAGGGTTTTTTAAGTAACCCTTGAAAACAACTTGATACAATAGGTAGAAAGTTTGGAGCATATGGAACAATTTGATAAATAATTTATGGGAAAATGAGGCAAATTTAAATGACATAGACTCAAAATGTTCATTGAGTTGTTCCTTTCAAGATCATAATTTGCATGCTCAAATAAAGAGCTATGTGCATGCTTTTAGCCTTATCTTTTTTCCCCTTCGAAGCATTTTTTTTAAAATCCCCAATTTAAAGGGAATAAATGGTACACCAAAATTATGCAATAAAAAATATAGGTCACCATGCTCGTATAAGAGCTAAAGACCTTCATACCTCTTTAACCTGGTCCATGGATTGAAAAACAGTACCATGTTCTCAGAATACACATGTGCTCTTTCCCCTGATTACATGATTTTAATGCACATCACAGGATATGCGTTGATAAACTGAGGAATCACCTTAATGTTTTCATGCATTTTAACTCTAAATCAAGACACTAAGAATTGGTTGAACTGCATGGAGTTTTCTTCTGGGCTCATCAAGGCAAGAAAAATGGGGGTTAGTTAATTTTATTAATTAGGGTAAGCAGTGGCCAAATTAATCCAGTCATTTGAGTGAATTTTTTTTCATGGCATGAGATAATTAAATGCTGATGTTTTTAAAGGCAGATTGAAGTGATAATGATAATGATGCTGTGATGACTTAAGCAGCAAAAGTTTGGGTGCAATGGACAACATGCTAGATTTGTTTGAACTTTTTCTAAGGAAGCTACTTCATAAAGGCAAAAATAAAAATTATTGGGTAATCTGTTCTAAAATTTTTGGTGACATGATCTGTCTGTGACTATTAAGTAAAGGAAAATCACTGTTGAGAATGACAAGTAGATACCATTCTTTTTTCAATTAATGTAAAACTAGGAGAAGAACCCAGCAATGAGAAAAGATAGAGTAAAATATAATGCATGTAACATGACTTTTCTGACACATGGACGGTCTCATTTTGAATGATAGGTGTTTTAATCCTAGTGCTCAATTAGACTCAGTTCAAGCCCAGTTGCTAAATAGTTTCAATGATCTTTATTGTTCTCCTTGGACGTTAATTTTACTACACCTTGTATCTTGAAATATGTTGAATATTATTGTACATGTGACATTCACATGAATTTTGCCAGCATTATTGGAGACATTGTGGTGGAGAGGTTAGGGCGCTGGACTTGTACTCTTGCGGTCCTGGGTTCAACTCTTTACTCTGTTGTTCACTGGATTTGTTTTTGGTTGCCCCTAGTTTAACTCCTAGCTTGCGCTTTGTAAAAAGCCAACTGGCTAATGCCCGTGTCCAAAATATCACAAGTTGTGGATAAGGATTCTCACTTCAGATAACCAAGGGCATCACTGGTAAACATTGCTACCTCTATGGTGAGTGTTTTTTTTTTTGATTCTCACTTCAGATAACCAAGGGCATCACTGGTAAACATTGCTAGCTCTGTGGTGACTGGTTTTTTTTTGTTTAATATTTCACAAATTACTGAGGTTCTACAGACAAGTTACAGAGCATAGTAAATAAGTACCATTGGAATCACTCACTATTCTGGAAAGTTGATTGATTAACACTGTGAGCTTGAAGAACCACAACAGACAGAATTGCCCTTATGATACTTTCACAGAAGATGAAAAACAGTTGGATTCCCTTTAGGACATGTATAAATCAGCTCAGGACGTGTTGCAGAAACAGGAAGAGCAAGAAATGGCCATTAAGAAATGTAGGAACAAAGTGGATGACTGATGAAATGACAATGTTTCAAAGAATTATTACAAAGGATGCTACACCTAAACAAGTGAGTAATACTTAAGCATGAACTTTTGAGTCAACTGTTAAAATCAATAGCTTTTCTTACTGTTTAAACAGGTACCACTGATCAGCACCATAATGATTTGATTTGATGCCCTCATGCCATTAACCCTTTCACTCCCACAAGTGACCAAGACAGAATTTCTCCTTACAGTGTCAATACAATATCAAGCAGGCAGGTGATGAGAATAGAGGAGAATATCAATCATGGGATTATTAGTTGATCCAATACCAAATTCTCTGAACTAACATCATAAGAATTGTATGGCAGATAGTAAGGAGAATTACTAATTAGATCTTGGGAGTGAAAGGGTTAAAGCACCCCCTTTCTAATAAGCATCCCCTCCAATAATCACCCCCTCTGATAATCACCCCCTCTAATAATCACCCCCTCTAATAATCACCCCCTCTAATAAGCACCCCCTCTAATAAGTACCCCCTCTAGTAAGCACCCTTCCTAATAAGCACCCTCTCTAATAAGCACCTCCCTCCATATTATGTAAAGAGGCTGCTGGTTGTGACCTACCAATCCTATCATGGTTCAAATACAGAGGAACTGAATATTCTCCTCTCTAAGGCAAAACCCAATTACAGTTTAAGGAATTCTTTAAATATAGAAGTGCCAAGACCAAGATCTGAAATTGGCAGGTCCTCTTTTAAACACAGGGCTGCGTTGGCATGGAACCTTCTTCTGCATCATGTCAAAGACTGTGCAATTTTAAGATCTTTTAAGATTAAGCTGAATGCGAAGAAACATCTTTCCTTCTGCGTTTCAATGAAAAATGATGATTTCCTTTATTTTTAGATATTTATTTGTTATTTATAATGATTACATCTAAATTTATCTAATCATTATTGTATTTAAGAAGAAATTTATATCTCGTTCACTTATATTTTTATCCTTACCTAATGTGACAATATTTAATTAGCTGTAGTTAGGCAGGTCCACATCAGGACTTCGTTCTTGCCAATTTTCATAACCTGCATTGTTAAATAAAGATGTATGTATGTCTGTAAGCACCCCCTCTAATAAGCGCCTCCCTCGAACTCGTTTTTGTTAATGAGCGCCGCTGTTCTTATAATCACCCCTGTCGAGTGTGAAACACCCTCATTACAATAAGCGCCCCTATACCAATTAGCGGCACTATTCTGTTTCAGCGATAGTACTGTTAGTGTACCTGCACATTCAGATCGAAGGTGGTTCATCTTCCTTTAATTGCTTAATCACTTACTTCAAACCTTATAATACAAAAACAGTGGTCTTCGTCTCAGTCTCTCAACTATAATGTCCATGTGTGTGCACAGTTCCTTCAAACGAATGATCTCGCTCCAGGGACAGCATGTCCGTTCACCAGTCTTCTTGATCCTTTTCAAACAAACGTCAAAGCTTTTTTTGGCACAATTTGCTGTTTCCCGAGAATTAAATAGTGCCGTCTCCCTTAAAAGCGCCCCGTTTCGAATAAGCGCCCTCCCTCTTGGCATCAATAGTTAATAAGTGCTCCGGGCGTTAATTGCGCCCGGAGCACGAATCATTACGGTATGTACAAGAAAACTCAGTATCGCTGAGCTTTTTTCATACTTGATTTTTTTCCTTGACGAAGAAAAGCTATAAAGTTTGCTAAAGCGACAATGGCTTCTGACCTTTCAGGCTCTTAAGTCGAGGATGAGGGAAAGAGTGTAGCGGGAAGAAAAACAGCAAAAAGGGGGAGGGGAATTAATACAGTAAAAGACGAGTTGCATGTGGATTTACATGCCAGTGGGCTACTAACTTTCTAATAGATATAATTTTTTTTCCAGGGCATAAAGATGGTTTCTGGGAAAACGTCGTGGTCAATTTAGCAATGGCAAAGAAGAAGCTTGAAAAATGCTAATACACAAATTCATTTGAGCCATATTTGAGAAACTTCTTCATAGACTTCTACAGCTTTTGTTCTCAACTGAGGCCCTTGACCTAGTGTCAGAGTTAAAAAAAAGGTTTTGCTTTATAAATAAATCATTATTACTTCATGATCTCTCGGTCGACTTTGGTTTCATGTGTAGTACCCTCATTTACAACTTCCTCAATTAAATCTTTCCGGCTCGTTCGGTTCGTTGCTCAATCTAAGACTACATGACACCACTTTCCAAAGAATAACTACTTTCATATTTTCTTTCTAAATTGTTTGTTTGTGTTTGAAGATATGTGAAGAGGAGCCCTGTTGTGAGGGAATTTTCTTTTCAGATTTCCTTTAACCAGCTTAGGATATCAACTGAATGGAAATTCCATCTCCAGTTTTAAAAACCATATAATTTTCGTTTAAGGTAGTAAGAAGTACATTATAATAAGATAATGACATTGACTGTGCCTTATGATTTTCAGATTTCTCTTACCAGCTTAAGGGTATCAGCTGAATGGAAATTCAATCACCAGTTCCAAAAACCATATAATTTCCATCTTAGCTAATGCGGAGAAGTGTATCATTATGAAATGATGACATTGACCACGCTTTGTCCCCCAATGATGATCTGCCTTAACAATTAGATGCCACAAAAACTTTATATTTTTGATGCGAATATTGACCTTTTCTTTTTTAAGGTCAGAGTAGCTGCTGCTTGTGAAGCGCTCGACGCGGTTTTCGCGAGTCGATAGCTTGCGGCCAGATTACTATGTTGATTTTGAAAATGGCAGCGTCGATAGTCAACTTCTTAACTCTTGAATTTTTTTGGCTTTGAAATCTGAAACACGGAAGTAGAGATGTAATTTTTAGATACACTTTTATAAGCAAAGAAAGAAATAACTCGGTAACAGATCCTTTAAGAAGAATAGACAGTATTGTTGTCTTTCCACTGCTGTCATCAAACCAATGATCATCAAAGAGGTAAGTCTATAATAGTTAGATCAGTTCTTTTAAACCTTGTCTATCGGCTTATCTGCGTACATCACTCAAATCCATTTTGTTGAAAGTGAATCACAAGAATGAGCTAAATGTTTCAAGAGAGAATAAAGGCCATTATTTTCTCTTGACTATCTCAAGTGTTATTGTCATTAAGAAAATTTCCCAGAAAGTGGAGACATGGATTAACCAACGTGTAGCCGTACCCTCCCCCCGCTAAGTACGGCTACACGTAGGCTAAACATGGATGAACCAATTTTGAAGAAACTTGTAGCTGATGATGGCCTTAATTAGATAGTCGAAAAGCCTTAAAGTTGTTGGCTTTTATTTCTATTCAAAAGAGTCCAAAATAACTGCGAATACTTGTGTAATACTGGGAAAATGGCTCTAAAGTTCTGGGTGCTTTCGATCGGTAAATCCGAATAAAATTTTGAAATACAGATTTTGTAGTTAAAAATGAAAAGCAAAAACGGATTTTGATAATGAAAAATCTGTCCTCAAGATGGATTTTCATAAAAAAATCCAGAGCTAATTTTTTTTTTCGTTTTCTAGCCAACGGTTAACCTCATTGAAACCCCTCCTAGAAGAGATCCTTTTTGGATTTCTCGGAAAAACGCAAAACATATAGAAATCAATGAGAGCGGGAGTTGGATTTCTTAATTGAGATCCACTTTGAGGATGAAATTCCCAGCGTTGAAAGACGTGTTTTACCGCAAAATCCGAATTCCCGATTTCAAAATCAAAATCCGGATTCGTTGAAGTCAAGCACCCAGATTTCTTTGAACACGGAGTCTTCTCTCTGATTGGTCTAGACTACATGTAGCTCTCGACCCAGTTTCTTAAAAGCCACATTCAAAATGGCGCATGAGTTGCCGTGAATTTAGAACTGAAAGAATCGATGTCGCACTGAATTGTCGGTTTATTTCGACAGGTGTGTTATGTTTGATAATGTATGATGGTGACCTGTTCTAAAAAACTTGTCTCATCTTCACTTTGTACATCGGATGTGTGAAGTAACGTCTTTCTACCATGATGAAATTCTAATGTTTACCAAGAACCCCTCGACAGGTGAGAGATCTTCAAAGAACTTTCAACCGATTCAATGTCTATGAAATGTATCTTACTACAAAGGAGCATTACGTACCAATTTTTTAACATATTTTGAAATCACCGATCACCGAGGAATGGGGTGATGGACAGAATAATGTCCTTCAGTCCATGGACAAAACCCCGTTGGACAACTCAAATGGACTACCCTAGCAATTTCACCAACCCTTCGAGGTTTTTTCGTTTTGTTTTCGTCAGTCACAACGAACACCACGAAATTTAGGCGATTATTTTAGAAATTCAAAATCGAAATATAGCGTTGTCCAAGTGATGTTACATTCTTCATTATCGGTCACGAAGTAAGGCGAGAAATCGATAATATTAAATGTTCTCTAGTATTAACATAGATTGACGCAGATACAAAATGTATTTATAGGACTTGCACATCCATTTTAAGTTGCATTGTATACATATTTATGGTCAAGAAGGGCAAACCCTTTTTTCCATTTTTTAGTGATTTTCTTTTAATGAGTTTAATATTTTATCATGGTGATTTATTGCAACAATGATTGCTTTTCACAGGTTGTTAAGCATGAAAATAAGAACTCAAAATTAATAGAAGGTTAAGGAAGTAAAGTGTTGTTCATGGTGATGTAATCTATGCCTCTGTCGTCAGATAAATTGAAAGTAAGATCCAATCAAATTGGGTGTATGATTCAGCTTATTGTAAATTTTGTTTTTGTTTTTGTTTTATTCTTTACAGGACAATTAGACTTTGACTTAACAAACATGGCAAATATTCTTGATATTCCTAGTCTGAGGTATGCTTCACCCTTCAGAAAACTTGCAGGGGCAACAGTAGAATGAATCATCAATTGCAGTAAAGTAGATATGATTTTTAAATTAAACTAATCTGGATTAGAGGTGATGTGAGGTTCTCTAACTTCCCTATTGCTTTTTTACAGTGACATGATCCTTAGAGTAATATATGATGTTGTGGTGGGATTTGTGGTTCTCCCAAACAGGATCACAGTTCCTTTGACTGATGCTGATCCGTATGTACTGAAATACCCCTTGCCTGATGTGAGTGACTTGTACTTATCATTAGAATTTTCTTTCTGCAAATTGTCTTTTATTGTGCCTCAAGACATGTTTAAAATGATTATTTAAATTTAAATAACTCAGTAGTACTGAGTACACCAAGTGTACACATAAGTGAAGTTTTTAAAGGTTTTTGACAATTGATTTTGCTTTCTCTTGTCACTCCAGGGTGTCCTTCGCATTGAAGTCCTGGAAGCTAAATAGACTTAATCAAGAAAGACATTGTTATCATATCTAAAGGTTCTGCTGAGATCCAAATGTTATTCTCAGAGGTATGTGTCAAAGCTTATGGAGATTACTGTATGAGCTAAAGACATGAAAGAGCCCTTACTGACCAGCAGTAATATGAATCCAAGTGTCTTTTGGTGCTTGTGTCACTGAAATTTTTCTGCCTCAGTTTCATGGAAGGTGAAAGACATACTTAAAGTCTAAACTCCTCTGAAAATTTTACATCTGTATAAACTTTTTTGGATTGTTTATTCTGAATTAAATAGAATCAGCAATCAGTGAGGCATATATTTATTAATTATTAAGTCATTTTTTGGATTTCTCATTTGCTTTGCCTCTATGAGGAGATAAATTCATTGGGACAAGATCATTGCTTCAGAACACCAATGAGTATCTTACTGTATGTGCACCATAGCTCATGAATAGCTCATGATGATATTTCTTTCTGTTGCCAGTGGGAGCCAAGACATTCCGCACAAAGACAAAGGACAACACAGTGAATCCAATATGGAATGAAGTGTTTGAGGTAAAGATTTTGGTGAGTTTGTGGTTCCTTGTCCATACTTCAAACATAGGATATTTCATTTCTGATTGTTTTGTTTCTGATTGTTTATGTGAAGGCCTTTGTGGACAACTCACGTGGTCAGAAAATAAAGATTGGTGTCTTTGATGAAGACAAAGATGTCTGATGATCAATGAATGTTCTTGGAACTATTAATCACTCTGAGTTAAGTAATCAATCAAACAAGAATTTCTAGAAAAGCCAATCTTTATCTACAGTTTTTATATGGGTTAGTGTTGACTGTTTTGAGTGAGAGATTTAAAACAATGTTGACAAATTGTGGCTTCAGAAATCTCCTTAGTGTTGAGGCTGACATTGGTACAATTGCACCATCGTGTGTATGAAGGATGTTGGATTTCGTAATGAGAATCAGCGTCACAAGTCACTTGAAAGGAAAAAAACATCAAAATGACATCCCAGAATGGTCATTAGCAAGCGTTTCAGATTTTTTTGGCGTTTCTTCTCAACAACCAGCACAATTTCAAAATGCTTCGTCTGAAAGTGGCGAAATAAAGACAAATTCTAGTACTACGAGTTCATCTGTTCATCGGTGATGGAAAGAATTGTCACTCGTGATGAGACTTTGAAAGCAGAAATTTTGTGGGCATTGAAGGTGATAATCTCAATTATAAAAGAAGGTAATAAATGGTCAACGATGTTTCCTGACAATCGCGAGTCAGTTTATGCGGAAAAAAAAATATAGGCTCACTTCAAACTCTTTTGAAGGAGTTGTAAAGAGCTTATGTACTTATGTTTGACGATAGCCTGAATAGCTGTTAAGCAAATGGATATTCACATTCGTTCATGGAATTGAAAAACGAAGTTGAAACTATTTACCTCAGTGTTTATGGGGCATGGAACAGCATGTGCTCTTTCATGCTTTCTCCGTTCAGGATTACAGGATTTTAATAGGATGCAACTCACGTTATGTTTGGGTAATCCATGAAATTGTTTGCAAGATACTTTGAAGTTGTATTATTTCTTACCCTCAATTATGACATTTCGAAATAGGATAGCACAAACAGTCTTCACACAATTACCTAATTTCAATTATTCTTTGTCATAAGACACTCTTTTGAAAGAATTATTAAAAAGGTGTGATCAAATTGGAATCAATTATATTGTTTTTTTAATTTCATCGTTCGGGCGAACGATAATCAAGAAGTTGCGTTAAATTTTTTTTTAACATGAAAATCTTTCAATGTCTGTTATTATTTTGCTGGGGAAAGATGCAAGATTACTTAATCTTTTATTAATATAAAGGGCCAATGTTCCAAAAAGATAAAATTGTATTAAATAGAAATGGCCAAATTAATAAATCAGTCATTTCACAATTTTTTGCATCCATGACTAGTTCACTTCGTTTGAGATAATTAAATGCTGAAGGGACGTAAAGGCAGATTGAAGTGATGCAATGTACTAAATTAAATAATCTGCAATATTGATGACTTGTCAATGGAGCAACGTTAAGAAATTTTTTGGGATGCAATGGACAACATGCTAGATTTGTTTGAACTTTTTCTAAGGAAGCTACTTCATAAAGGCAAAAATAAAAATTATTGGGTAATCTGTTCTAAATTTTTTGGTGACACGATCTGTCTGTGACTATTAAGTAAAGGAAAATCGCTGTTGAGAATGACAAGTAGATACCATTCTTTTTTCAATTAATGTAAAACTAGGAGAAGAACCCAGCAATGAGAAAAGGTAGAGTAAAATATAATGCATGTAACTTGACTTTTCTGACACATGGACGGTCTCATTTTGAATGATAGGTGTTTTAATCCTGGTGCTCAATTAGACCCAGTTCAAGCCCAGTTGCTAAATAGTTTCAATGATCTTTATTGTTCTCCTTGGACGTTAATTTTACTACACCTTGTATCTTGAAATATGTTGAATATTATTGTACATGTGACATTCACATGAATTTTGCCAGCATTATTGGAGACATTGTGTTGGAGAGGTTAGGGTGCTGGACTTGTACTCTTGCGGTCCTGGGTTCAACTCTTTACTCTGTTGTTCACTGGATTTGTTTTTGGTTGCCCCTAGTTTAACTCCTAGCTTGAACTTGCTTTGAAAAAAAGCCAACAGTGATGTTGACAATCTTGCTAATGCCTAGTGTGTCCAAAATATCACAAGTTGTGGATAAGGATTCTCACTTCAGATAACCAAGGGCATCACTGGTAAACATTGCTAGCTCTGTGGTGACTGGTTTTTTTTTTTTTAATATTTCACAAATTACTGAGGTTCTACAGACAATACCTCTTTTACAGAGCATAGTAAATAAGTACCATTTGGAATCACTCACAGGATATGCGTTGATAAACTGAGGAATCACCTTAATGTTTTCATGATTTTGATTCAAACACTGAGCTTGAAGAACTCATCAACAGACAGTTAATTTTATTAATAAGGGTAAGCAATGGCCAAATTAATCCAGTCATTTGAGTTAATTTTTTTACAGAGCATGAGATAATTAAATGCTGATGTTTTTAAAGGCAGATTGAAGTGATAATGATAATGATGCTGTGATGACTTAAGCAGCAAAAGTTTGGGTGCAATGGACAACATGCTAGATTTGTTTGAACTTTTTCTAAGGAAGCTACTTCATAAAGGCAAAAATAAAAATTATTGGGTAATCTGTTCTAAAATTTTTGGTGACACGATCTGTCTGTGACTATTAAGTAAATGAAAATGCTTTGAGAATGACAAGTAGATACCATTCTTTTTTCAAAATGTAAAACTAGGAGAAGAACTACAGCAACGAGAAAAGTGAGTAAAATATAATGCATGTAACATGAAGACACATGATGGTCTCATTTTGAATGATAGGTGTTAATCCTAGTGCTCAAACTCAGTTCAAGCCCAGTTGCTAAATAGTTTCAATGTTCTTTATTGTTCTCCTTGGACGTTAATTTTACTACACCTTGTATCTTGAAATATGTTGAATATTATTGTACATGTGACATTCACATGAATTTTGCCAGCATTATTGGAGACATTGTGTGGAGAGGTTAGGGCGCTGACTTGTACTCTTGCGGTCCTGGGTTCAACTCTTTACTCTGTTGTTTACTGGATTTGTTTTTGGTTGCCCTTAGTTTAACTCCTAGCTTGCGCTTTGTAAAAAGCCAACTGGCTAATGCCATGTAAATATCACAAGTTTGGATAAGGATTCTCACTTCAGATAACCAAGGGCATCAGTGGTAAACATTGCTAGCTCTGTGGTGACAGTTTAAGATTTCACAAATTACTGACAGTTCTACAGACAAGTTACAGAGCATAGTAAATAATCATTGGAAGCTCACTATTCTGGCAGTGATTGATTAACATGTGAGCTTGAAGAACCATCAGAATCATTGCCCTTATGATTATTAGTTGATTCCAATAAATCCAAATTCTCTGAGAAACTAACATCATAAGAAATGTAGGAAGAAAGTGGATGACTGATGAAATGACAATGTTTCAAAGAATTATTACAAAGGATGCTACACCTAAACAAGTGAGTAATACTTAAGCATGAACTTTTGAGTCAACTGTTAAAATCAATAGCTTTTCTTACTGTTTAAACAGGTTCCACTGATCAGCACCATAATGATTTGATTTGATGCCCTCATGCCATTAAAGCACCCCCTTTCTAATAAGCATCCCCTCCAATAATCACCCCCTCTGATAATCACCCCCTCTAATAATCACCCCCTCTAATAATCACCCCCTCTGATAATCACCCCCTCTAATAATCACCCCCTCTAATAAGTACCCCCTCTAGTAAGCACCCTTCCTAATAAGCACCCTCTCTAATAAGCACCTCCCTCCATATTATGTAAAGAGGCTGCTGGTTGTGACCTACCAATCCTATCATGGTTCAAATACAGAGGAACTGAATATTCTCCTCTCTAAGGCAAAACCCAATTACAGTTTAAGGAATTCTTTAAATATAGAAGTGCCAAGACCAAGATCTGAAATTGGCAGGTCCTCTTTTAAACACAGGGCTGCGTTGGCATGGAACCTTCTTCTGCATCATGTCAAAGACTGTGCAATTTTAAGATCTTTTAAGATTAAGCTGAATGCGAAGAAACATCTACTAAATAGCATAAATTTTGCCAGAGTTTCCTTCTGTGTTTCAATGAAAAATGATGATTTCCTATATTTTTAGATATTTATTTATTATTTATAATGATTACATCTAAATTTATCTAATCATTATTGTATTTAAGAAGAAATTTATATCTCGTTCACTTATATTTTTATCCTTACCTAATGTGACAATATTTAATTAGCTGTAGTTAGGCAGGTCCACATCAGGACTTCGTTCTTGCCAATTTTCATAACCTGCATTGTTAAATAAAGATGTATGTATGTCTGTAAGCACCCCCTCTAATAAGCGCCTCCCTCGAACTCGTTTTTGTTAATGAGCGCCGCTGTTCTTATAATCACCCCTATCGAATGTGAAACACCCTCATTGCGATAACCGCCCCTATACCAATTAGCGGCACTATTCTGTTTCAGTGATAGTACTGTTAGTGTACCTGCACATTCAGATCGAAGGTGGTTCATCTTCCTTTAATTGCTTAATCACTTACTTCAAACCTTATTATACAAAAACAGTGGTCTTCGTCTCAGTCTCTCAACTATAATGTCCATGTGTGTGCACAGTTCCTTCAAACGAATGATCTCGCTCCAGGGACAGCATGTCCGTTCACCAGTCTTCTTGATCCTTTTCAAACAAACGTCAAAGCTTTTTTTGGCATAATTTGCTGTTTCCCGAGAATTAAATAGTGCCGTCTCCCTTAAAAGCGCCCCGTTTCGAATAAGCGCCCTCCCTCTAGGCATCAATAGTTAATAAGTGCTCCGGGCGCTAATTGCGCCCGGAGCACGAATCATTACGGTATGTACAAGAAAACTCAATATCGCTGAGCTTTTTTCATACTTGATTTTTTTCCTTGACGAAGAAAAGCTATAAAGTTTGCCAAAGCGACAATGGCTTCTGACCTTTCAGGCTCTTAAGACGAGGATGAGGGAAAGAGTATAACGGGAAGAAAAACAGCAAAAAGGGGGAGGGGAATTAATACAGTAAAAGACGAGTTGCATGTAGATATACATGCCAGTGGGCTACTAACTTTCTAATAGATTTAATTTTTTTTCCAGGGCATAAAGATGGTTTCTGGGAAAACGTCGTGGTCAATTTAGCAATGGCAAAGAAGAAGCTTGAAAAATGCTAATACACAAATTCATTTGAGCCATATTTGAGAAACTTCTTCATAGACTTCTACAGCTTTTGTTCTCAACTGAGGCCCTTGACCTAGTGTCAGAGTTAAAAAAAAAGGTTTTGCTTTATAAATAAATCAACATTATTACTTCATGATCTCTTGGTCGACTTTGGTTTCATGTGTAGCACCCTCATTCACAACTTCCTCAATTAAATCTTTCCGGCTCGTTCGGTTCGTTGCTCAATCTAAGACTACATGACAGCACTTTCCAAAGAATCACTACTTTCACTACTTTCATAGTAATTTACTTTCTAAATTGTTTGTTTGTGTTTGAAGATATGTGAAGAGGAGCCCTGTTGTGTGGGAATTTTCTTTTCAGATTTCCTTTAACCAGCTTCAAGATATCAACTGAATGGAAATTCCATCTCCAGTTTTAAAAACCATATAATTTTCGTTTAAGGTAGTAAGAAGTACATTATTATAAGATAATGACATTGACTGCGCCTTATGATTTTCAGATTTCTCTTACCAGTTTAAGGATATCAGCTAAATGGAAATTCAATCACCAGTTTAAAGATATCAGCTAAATGGAAATTCAATCACCAGTTCCAAAAACCATATAATTTTCATCTAAGCTAATGCGGAGAAGTGTATCATTATGAAATGATCACATTGACCACGCTTTGTCTCCCAATGATGATCTGCCTTAACAATTAGATGCAACAAAAAAATTTATATTTTTGATGCGAATAATGAGTCAGAGTAGCAGCTGCTTGTGAAACGCACGATGTGGTTTTCGCGAGTCGATAGCTTGCGGCCAGATCACCATGTTGATTTTCAAATGGCAGCGTCGATGGTCAACTTCTTACCTCTTGAATTTTTTTGGCTTTGAAATCTGAAACACGGTAGTACAGATGTAATTTTTAGATACACTTTTATAAGTAAAGAAAGAAATCACTCGGTAACAGATCCTTTAAGAAGAGTAGATAGTACTGTTGTCTTTCCACTGCTGTCATCAAACCAATGATCATCAAAGAGGTAAGTCTATAATAGTTAGATCGGTTCTTTTAAACCTTGTCTATCGGCTTATCTGCGTACATCACTCAAATCCATTTTGTTGAAAGTGAATCACAAGAATGAGCTAGATGTTTCAAGAGAGAATAAAAACCATTATTTTCTCTTGACTATTTCAAGTGTTTTTGTCAATAAGAAAATTTCCCAGAAAGTGGAGACATTGATAAGCTTACGCGTAACCTTACCCTCCCCCTGCCGAGTACGGCTACACGTAGGCTAAACATGCACCAATTTTGAAGAAACTTACTGCTGATGATGGCCTTAATAAGATAGTCGAAAAGCTTTAAAATTGTTGGCTGTGTAAAAATAATCTTATTTCTATTCAAAAGAGTCCAAAAAAACTGCGAATACTTGTGGAATATTGGGAAAATGGCTCTAAAGTTGTGGGTGCTTTCGATTGGTAAATCCGAATTAGAATTTTGAAATACAGATTTTGTATTTAAAAATGAAAAGCAAAAACGGATTTCGATGATGAAAAATCTGTCCTCAAGATGGATTTTCATTAAAAAATCCAAAGCTATTTTTCTTTTCTTTTTATAGCCAACGGTTAACCTCATTGAGACCCCTCCTAGAAGAGATCCTTTTTGGATTTCCCGGAAAAAGGCAAAACATAGATGAGATCCGGAGCTGGATTTCTTAATTGAGATCCACTTTGAGGATGAAATTCCCAGCGTTGAAAGACGTGTGTTACCGCAAAATCCGAATTCCCGATTTCAAAATCAAAATCCGGATTCGTCGATTAAGCACACAGATTTCTTTAAACACGGAGTCTTCTCTCTGATTGGTCTAGACTACATTTAGCTCTCGACCCAGTTTCTTAAAAGCCACATTCAAAATGGCGCATGAGTTGCCGTGAATTTAGAACTGAAAGAATCGATGTCGCACTGAATTGTCGGTTTATTTCGACGGGTGTGTTATGTTTGATAACGTATGATGGTGACCTGTTCTAAAAAACTTGTCTCACCTTCACTTTATACATCGGATGTGTGAAGTAACGTCTTTCTACCAAGATGAAATTCTAATGTTTACAAGGAACCCCTCGACAGGTGAGAGATCTTCAAAGAACTTTCAACCGATTCAGTGTCTATGAAATGTATCTTACTACATAGGAGCATTACGTACCAATTTTTTAACATATTTTGAAAGCACCGATCACCGAGAAATGGGGTGATGGACAAAACAATGTCCTTCAGTCCATGGACTAAACCCCGTTGGACAACTCAAATGAACTACCCTAGCAATTGCACCAACCCTTCGATGTTTTTTCGTTTCGTTTTCGTCAGTCACAACGAACACCACGAAATTTAGGCGATTATTTTAGAAATTCAAAATCCTTCCTTCGAAATATAGCGTGGTCCAAGTGATGTTACATTCTTCAATATCGGTCACGAAGTAAGGCGAGAAATCGGTAATATGAAATGTCCTCTAGTATTAATATAGATTGACGCTGATACAAAATGTATTTATAGGACTTGCACAGCCATTTTAAGCTGCATTGTATACATATTTATGGTCAAGAAGGGCAAACCCTTTTTTCTATTTTTTAGTGATTTTCTTTTTCTTAATGAGTTTAATATTTTATCATGGTGATTTATTGCAACGATGATTGCTTATCACAGGTTGTTAAGCATTAAAATAAGAGCTCAAAATTAATAGAAGGTTGATCCCTTTTACAAAATTCGAATTTCTGATTGTGTTCCTTAAAGTTATTTTTAGTTATGTTCTGCAGGCATTAAACATTCTCCCCTCAAATTTTGAATTAAAAGGCTGAAATGTTAATTTCTCTGACTTTTGGAATATCTCACCTCAGTATCTTTTTCAACAAGTTTCATCATAATCAGTTGAAAATCCCACAGCATGTTTCTGTTCTGGAACATTTTCTTGTGGACAAAGAGACTTATATGTAAGAATGTTTGTTATTCATAAACTGTGTGGTGTAGAAAATGAATTTGAGATAAAACTAAATGAACCTTAATTTGTAAAACTTCTTTCAAAATGAAGAATTTGCAATTATTTAGAGCAAATAACAGCCTTTCAAACAGAAACACTTTGCTTGAAGATTATAGTCACCTTTGCATTTTCATTCCAAGAGAACTTATGAATTGGCATGATTTATTTCATGTGAAAGAGATTAAACTGGAAAAAAGAAGAGCATTCAGTATCTTTCTTTTAAAGTCATTAATTTACTTAACATATTTTCATGCATTTGAACTCTGAATCAGGACATTAAAAATTGGTTGAGCTGCATTAAGGTTTTTTCAGGGCTCAGTGAACTTAGTGAACTTTCATCTTAGTTTTGTTTTAAACCTTTGGCACAAGTGGGACTGATGTGTGAGTACCTTTGTAACTTTGTTTTTTCTAATTTAGTTCTCCAGCATTGGGCGAAAGTATTCAAACAGATATTTTGTTGTAATGACACATATTCAATTGATTTGAGATTTTAAAGGCCAGAATTGTTTCCAATGCACCAGCCACCATTTAGATAAGGACGATAGGCTGTTACCAGCTACCAAATTCTTGTAACTCTTTGTACTTTAATGTAGTTTGTATTGGTTTATTTGTATTGTTTATTATCATTTTAATCTCGTTATCGGCGTTAAGGCCCAGCTTTTTACACTCAATTTCTGTTTATATATTTTGCAACATTTTGTTAGATTGATAGAACTTTGTTGCATTATTGTTTCAGTTTATGATTGTTCAATTGATTGATTGACTGATTGTGAGATTGATTGTGATTTGTGGTTAGTGGATTGCTTGCAAGATTAAAGATTTGTGTAAATGGTCAACTTTGGTTTGTTACATTCTCTCAATTTGTAAAATAGCCCCAAACACCTTGTTAACTGCATCTTGGAGCAACACCACTTGAAATCTTATGAATTAGATTTTTGGTTGCCACAAGCATTACAGATAGAATCTGCATTCATCATCCAACCAGAATCATATCAGGATTTTTATGTTAAATCAACATTTAAGTCCTGTTATTTTTTTTCTCCTTTAACTGTTTTCATTTTATATTTTTTCTTAAGTTTGTTTGTGTTTTCCCTTGGCCCAATTGGCTTTAAAAACCAGGTTAATAATTATATGACAGGGTAAGCAGTGGCCAAGTTAATCAATTTACATTGCATGAGATAATTACATGTAAATGCTGATACTTTAAATGGCAGACTGAATTCATAATACTGCTGAGATGACTAAAGCAGCAAAATTTTGGATGCAATGGACAACATGCAAGATATTTTTGAACTTTTTTAAGGAAGCTGCTTCATGCAGGTTAAAACAAAAATTCTTCAGTGGGAGCAGGGGGAGGGGATGCTGTAAACTGCCCCTTATTAGCTAGGCCCTTGGTTATAGGTCTGTCTACCTGTGAACAAAAAATACATTTGATTGTAAGCCTCCCCTCCCCCTCTTGGATATAAGCACCTCTCTAGCTTTTCTTGTTTTAGTGATAAGCAGGAAGCCATGCTGTTGTAAATTAGACATTATTATTTTAATTAAAGAAGCAAAGACAAACTTCAAGGAAATCAAAGTCTGAACTTCCTTTTTGTTATGTTCTAGTTTTGTTTGTGTTGTTAGTTTTTTTTTGTTCTAAATGTATTGAAATTAGTTTGATTTATTAATGCAATACATATTTTGATCAGTGCTGCTATAGCCTGTGCTTTTTCTGTTCTGGTTAATTTAAACCCTGTTAGATATACATTGTGTTTATATAGCCCTCCATTTATAAGCCCTCCATTTATAAGCCCTCCATTTATAAGCCCTCCATTTAAAAGCCCTCCATTTATAAGCCCTCCTAAAACCCCTTACAAAGTTGCACAAGCACAAGCATCAAATGTGTCAATTTATTGTTTAGCATTTTTTCCGAGTAGTATGTGTCTACAGCTGTAAATCTTACATTGTGTTGTGATGGGTCACTAAAATGTGAATCAATATAACAGTAACTGTGAAGTCTCAAAGTTACTCGGCAATGCATGGTTTTAAGTTGCACAAAACTAGAAAACCAGATGTCAATGCCTAGAAATAATTATTGTGGGCAAAATGTTTTGAGAAAGTGCATTCACAGGCTTATATGCCAGCTTCACTTTTCAAAACATGATTGCCTGAGGTTTGAAACCACCTTCTTCTCCCTCCCCTCCCTTATCAATTTTGTTGTGTTTAATTTTTCACTGTAATATACATTGCATTAACACCAATGTTATCTGAGAAAAAAAAGCAGTCATTAAACAGCATTGAAGGATGAATAAGGACTCAAAAATGGTATACTATGCATGCATATGCTTCGACAGATGCTTAGTTTACATTTAGCTCTGTTGTGTTAAATTATTTGTCCATGATTTTAGATTGCCTCAGCTTTAACATTGTTCGTATTTTCTGGTTTTTACACCAAATTCTCAGTGCTAAAATGATATGAAATGTGTAGCACACAGTGTGAAAATTTAAATTTAGATCTCAGCAGACTTTCGAAAAGATAGAATTTTTTTTCAAAATTTTCTAATTGCTGTTTTATTTATTGTCATTACTTTTAGTTATGCTGGGGATTCAGACTTTGCGTTATCTGTCAAGGGTGTCAGTGTTGGCATTGAAGATCTCCAGGTATATTGTATTTATTACAAACAGAACATTTTACAGTACCTGCATGAGTTGTTTGAAACTGGAATTATCATTTATTATCCTGGTGTTTTCTTATGGTTTTCTTTTCATCCCATTCAGCTTCCTGGAAGTCTGCATGCGATTTTGTGCCCTCTTATTCCAGTTGTTCCTCTTGTGGGTGGGGTATTAGTCTTCTTTCTTATCAGACCATTAAGTCGAAAGTTAATTGAAACACACATTTTTGACAAGAAAAGTTGTTTTTTAGGTTGTCAATACTTTATTACAAACTGAATCAGGTTGGATATTTAACAGATAAATTCCATTTTGCAGTAGGTCTGTTCAGTTACAGACTACAGATGTCAAACTGTGGTAAGAAATAAAAAAGTGGCTCTTAAGTTGCAGCTGAGTGTGTCACTGATGTGTCACCACATTTTGTCATTACCTGTGATCTATTACTGACTAAACAGACTGTGACAAGGAATCCAATTGTTTTATATTATAAGGAAGTAAAATGTTGTTCATGGTGATGTAATCTATGCCTCTGTCCTCAGATAGATTGAAAGTAAGATCCAATCAAATTGGGTGTGTGATTCAGCTTATTGTAATTTTTTTTTGTTTTATTATTTACAGGACAATTAGACTTAACAAACATGGCAAATATTCTTGATATTCTTAGTCTGAAGTATGCTTCACCCTTCAGAAAACTTGCATGGGCAATGAATCATTTGTTGTAGTAAAGTAGACATGATTTATAAATTAAACTAATCTGGATTAGAGTGATGTGAGGTTCTCTAACTTCCCTATCCCTTTTTTTCAGTGACATGATCTGTGGAGTGATATATGATGTTGTGGTGGGATTTGTGGTTCTCCCAAACAGGATCACAGTTCCTTTGACTGATGTTGATCTGTATGAAATACCCCTTGCCTGATGTGAGCAACTTGTACTTATCATTAGAATTTTCTTTCTGCAAATTGTCTCTTACTGTGCCTCAAGACATGTTTAAAACAATTATTTAAATTTGAATAACTCAGTAGTACTGAGTACACCAAATGTACACATAAGTGAAGTTTTTAAAGGTTTTTGACAATTGATTTTGCTTTCTCTTGTCACTCCAGGGCATCCTTTGCATTGAAGTCCTGGAAGCTAAATAGACTTAATCAAGAAAGACATTGTTACCATATCTAAAGGTTCTACCAAGATCTAAATGTCATTCTCAGAGGTATGTATCAAAGCTTGTGGAGATTATTGTATGAGCTGAAGACATGAAAGAGCCCTTACTGACCAGCAGTAATATGTGTCCAAGTGTCTTTTGGTGCTTGTGTCACTGGAAATTTTTCTACCTCAGTTTCATGGAAGGTCAGAATCATACTTAAAGTCTGAACTCCTCTGAAAATTCTACTTCTGTGTAAACTTTTTTGATTGTTTATTCTGAATTAAATAGAATCAGCAATCACGAGACATAAATTTATTAATAACTAAGGCATGTTTTGAATTTCTCATTTGCTTTGCCTCCATGAGGAGATATTAATTCATTGGGACAAGATCATTGTTTTAGAACACCAATGAGTATCTTACTGTATGTGCACCATAGCTCATGATGATATTTCTTTCTGTTGCCAGTGGGAGCCAAGACACAAAGACAAAGGACAACACAGTGAATCCAATATGGAATGAAACGTTTGAGGTAAAGATTTTGATGGGTTTGTGGTTCCTAGTCCATACTTCAAACATAGGATATTTCATTTCTGATTGTTAATTTTGTTTCTGATTGTTTATGTGATTAGGCCTTTGTGGACAACTCACATGGTCAGAAAATAAAGATTGGTGTCTTTGATTAAGACTAAGTGTCTGATGATGAATCTCTTGGATCATACAGTAAGTAATCATCCAAACATGAATTAGTAGAAAGCAACTCATATCTTCAGTTTTTACATGTATGTGACTGTTTGATGTTGACAAATGATGTTTTATCTCCTCAGTGTTGAGGCTGACATTGGTACAATTGTCCAACAAGGCAATGTTGGATTGGTAAGTTGCAAATCTTTTGCTAACTAAAGAGTTGTATGTCATATTTAATAACTGGTGTTAGGAACCTTTTTTAACACTGTGTGATTTGATATAGCATCTAGAGCAATTTTTAATTGATTGTCGAATGAAAGCAACCCAGGATTGCACTGGGTTTACTTGTTCTTATGGTCTGTGATTGGTCTTGAAAACATGTGCTACCCTCTGAGCCAAACGCATGCAAAGAGATAAAACTTATAGTGATTTGATCAGTGACACTTTCCTCTACTTTGGGTACTTAAAATTAACTCAAGACGTGTTGCTGAAACAGGAAGAGCAAGAACTGACCATTAAGAAATGTAGGAACAAAGTGGACTGTATGACTGATGAAATGAAAATGTTTCAAAGAATGACTACGGAGGATGCAACGCCTAAACAAGTGAGTAATGGGTTAGCATGAACTAATGAGTTAGCTGTTAAAATCAATAGCTTTTCTTACTGTTTTTAAAATCAGGTACCAAGTGATCAGTACCGTAATGATTCGATTTGGCACCCCCGTGCTAAAAGCACTCCCTCTGTGATAGGCACCCCCTTTCTAATAAGCATCCTCTCTAATAAGAACCTCCTCTAATATAATAAGCACCCCCTCTAATATAATAAGCACCCCCTCATATAATAAGCACCCCCTCTTATAAGCGCCTTCTCTTTAATAAGCACCCCCCCTCTGATAAGCATTCTCTCTTTAATAGGCGCCCCCTCTAATAAGCACCTGCACATTTCAAGGTGGTTCATCTTCCTTTATTTGCTTACTTCACACCGATTTTTCCGCGGGAGCTGATCAGATTCCAACTACATTTATAAAGCTAGTGGCTGACCATTTGGCGGGCCCCCTTAATAGAATCATTAACGGTTGTATAACTGAAGCATACTTCCCAAAGCTTTGGAAGATCGCTAGAGTGTCGCCCATACACAAGGTAGACAACCCAACGACCGATGACGAACTAAGACCAATCTCGATATTACCGGTGTTGTCTAAGGTGTTCGAAAGGTTGGTCAGCTGGCAGATGTCGGAGTTCGCAAATAGCGCCTCTCTTCTTCATGATAACATTTCCAGTTTCCATGAAGGGCACTCTACCACTACTGCCCTTCTTGAAATAAGAGATGATATAAAGCGCGCTATGAAAAGGAAAGAGGTCACCTTGATGGTTCTCTTTTCTAAGGCCTTTGATACGGTTTGTTTCAAGACGACGCTAAAAAAATTCTACAAACTCGGTTTCTCCAAAAACTATTTAAAATGGCTCCTCAGCTATTTATCTGACACTAAATCACACTAAATCACACCTCAAATTTTCACAATTTGGAATACCTCAAGGATCGATCCTCGGGCCGATGATCTTCAATTTGTATGTATCAGACCTCCGAGACAACCTCGATCTATCCACATCTTGTTCTCAGTACGCTGATGACACATCCCTCTACACCCACTGTGCAGTAAGGGAATTGGAATCAACGACGTGCGATTTAAACGAATCCCTTACCAAACTTGGATCATGGTCTAAGGACTCCAACCTTGCCTTGAACCCTAATAAGACCAAATTCATGGTTCTCTCCACCCAGCAAATGTCATCCCATCACAAATTAGCAGATTGCGCACGTAATCTCACTGTCGGAGACAACTCTCTTAAGCGAGTCGAATCTACAAAGTTGCTCGGGGTTAACATCCACAGTAACCTCAAATAGGACGACCGTATCAAACATTTAGCTGCTTCATGTTATGGTACCTTAGCCACGCTTAAAAAAGTGAAGAACTTTACTAATTACAAGTTAAGAAAGCACCTTGCCGAATCGTTAGTTCTATCACGCTTAGACTTTAGTGACATTGTATTTTACCCGCTCAGTGAAAATCTGCTTAAAAAGCTTTTAGCATATTCAGTTTTCCGCTGCCAGCTTTGTCACAGGTCACTATGTGAACTCTGTGAATTCTCTATTTAAATTAGGCTGGTTACCAATGAGTGAGCGTCGGGGCTGGTATTTACTTAAAGCAGCGCTCAAAGCCCTGTATGATGAACATTGGCCCAGGAATCTGAGGCTTGAAGCTTCATGCTTACGTTCCAGCGAAAGTGACTGTGCCGCTAAGCGTTTTAACTCCCTCCCGGCTTCAGTGAAATCCTGCCCGGACTTTAACACCTTTTCAAAAGAAACTCATAAAATTTTAAAAGCTGCAGTTGATATTTCGTAGAGATGTGCATGCATGTAGATATTATTATAAGTAATTCTGATGTGTGTACAGTTCCTTCAAACGAATGATCACGCCTTCAAATTTTGCGACGACGATTTCTTGGCTATTCGTTCTGGCCAGGAAAGATCCAGGGACAGCATGTCCGTTCAACAGTCTTCTTGGTCCTTTTCAAATAAACATCAAAGATTTGTTTGGAACAATTTGCCGGTTCTCAAAAAATTAAATAAGTGCCGTGTTCCATAATAGCGCCCCGTTTCGAAAAAGCGCCATCCTTTGGGTATCAAGAGTAAATAAGCGCTCAGGGCGCTAAATCGAATCATTACGGTATGTACAAGAAAAATCAATATCGCAGAGCTTTTTTCATACTTGATTTTTTTCCCACGACGAAGAAAAGCTATAACAATTGCTAAAGCGACAATGGCTTCTGACTTTTCAGGCTCTTAAGTCGAGGATGAGGGAAAGAGTATAGCGGAAAGAAAAACAGCAAAAAGGGGGAGGGGGTGGGGAAGAGGCAGGTCCCCGCCCACACCACTCCCCTACCTGTCGCTTTATTCAAAGTTAGCACAGATTTCTCTGAACGCGGCGTCTTCTTTCTGATTGGCCTAGACTAGCTTTCGACCCAGTTTCTTAGCAGCCACATTGAAAATGGCGGACGAGCTGCCGTTAATTTAAAACTGAATCGATGTCGCACTGAAGAGTCGGTTTGTTTCGACAATTGTGGTACATTTGATGACGGATGATGACGTATGATGATGACCTGTTCTAAGAACTAGTCATATCTTCACTTTGTACATCGGATGTGTGAAGTAACGTCTTTCTTCCATGATGAAATTCTAATGTTTACCAAGAACCTCTCGACAGGTGAGAGATCGTCAAAGAACTTTTAACCGATTCAGTGTCAATGAAATGTATCTAATTACATAGGAACGTTACTTACTCATCTTCTAACAAATGTTGCACTGATCACCAAGGAATGGGGTGATGGACAAAACAATGAACTCCAGTCCATGGACTTAACCCCGTTAGATAACTCAAATGAACAAATATGTTGAATATTATTGTAAATGTGACATTTAAATGAATTTTGCCAGCATTATTGGAGACATTGTGGCAGAGAGGTTAGGGTGCTGGACTTGTACTCTTGCAGTCCTGGGTTCAGCTCTTTGCCCTGTTGCTCAGTGGATTTGTTTTTGGTTGCCCCCAGTTTAACTCCTAGCCTGCGCTTTGTAAAAAGCAAACTGGCTAATGCCTGTGTCCAAAATATCACAAGTTGTCGATAAGGATTCTCACTTCAGATAACCAAGGGCATTGCTGGTAAACATTGCTAGCTCTGTGGTGACGGTTTTTTTTGTTTTGTTTAAGATTTCACAAGCTACTGAGGTTCTACAGACAAATTACAGAGTGCAGTAAATAAGTACCATTGGAATCACTCACTAAATCTGGAAAGTCAATTGATTAACACTGTGAGCTTGAAGAACCACAACAGACAGAATTGCCCTTATGATACTTCCACAGAAGATGAAAAACTGTTGGATTCCCTCTGGGACGTGTGTAAATCAGCTCAAGACATGTTGCAGAAACGGGAAGAGCAAGAAATGACCATTAAGAAATGTAGGAACAAAGTGGACTGTATGACTGATGAAATGAAAATGTTTCAAAGAATTACTACAAAGGATACTACGCCTAAACAAGTGAGTAATAAGTTTGCATGAACTTATGAGTCAACTGTTAAAATCAATAGCTTTTCTTACTGTTTAAACAGGTACCACTGATCAGCACCGTAATGATTCAATTTGATGCCCTCATGCCATTAAAGCACCCCCTTTCTAATAAGCATCCCCTCCAATAATCACCCCCTCTAATAAGCACCCCCGCTAATAAGCACCCCCTCTAATAAGTACCCCCTCTAGTAAGTGCCCTTTCTAATAAGCACCCTCTCTAATAAGTACCCCCTCTAGTAAGCGCCCTTTCTAATAAGCACCCTCTCTAATAAGCACCTCCCTCCATACTATGTAAAGAGGCTGCTGGTTGTGACCTACCAATCCTATCATGGTTCAAATACAGAGGAACTGAATATTCTAATCTCTAAGGCAAAACCCAATTACAGTTTAAAGAATTCTTTAAATATAGAAGTGCCAAGACCAAGATCTGAAATTGGCAGGTCCTCTTTTAAACACAGGGCTGCATTGGCATGGAAATTTCTTCTGCATCATGTCAAAGACTGTGCAAATTTAAGATCATCTAAGATTGGGCTGAATGCAAACAAACATCTACTAAATAGCATAAATTTTGTCAGAGGTTCCTGCTGTGTTTCAATGAAAAATGATGATTTCTTATATTTTTAGTTATTTATTTATTATTTATAATGATTGCATCTAAATTTATTTAATCATTATTGTATTTAAGAGGAAATTTTTATCTTGCTCACTTAAATTTTTATTCTAATTTTAATGCGACAATATTTAATTAGCTGTAGTTAGGTAGGTCCACATCAGGACTTCGGTCTTGCCAATTTTCATAACCTGCATTGTTAAATAAAGATGTATGTATGTCTGTAAGCACCCCCTCTAATAAGCGCCTCCCTCGAATTCGTTTTTGTTAATGAGCGCCGCTGTTCTTATAATCGCCCCTATCGAGTGTGAAACACCCTTATTACAATTAGCGCCCCTATACCAATTAGCGGCACTATTCTGTTACAGCGATAGTACTGTTAGTGTACCTGCACATTCAGATCGAAGGTGGTTCATCTTCCTTTAATTGCTTAATCACTTGCTTCAAACCTTATTATACAAAACAGTGGTCTTCGTCTCAGCCTCTCAACTGTAATGTCCATGTGTGTGCACAGTTCCTTCAAACGAATGATCTCGCCTTCTAATTGCTTTGCGGTTCTTCCTGGCCAAGAAAGATCCAGGGACAGCATGTCCATTCACCAGTCTTATTGATCCTTTTCAAACAAACATCAAAGCTTTTTTTGGCACAATTTGCTGTTTCCCGAGAATTAAATAGTGCCGTGTCCCTTAAAAGCGCCCTGTTTCGAATAAGCGCCCTCCCTCTAGGCATCAATAGTTAATAAGTGCTCCGGGCGCTAATTGCGCCCTGAGTACTAATCATTACGGTATGTTCAAGAAAACTCAATATCGCTGAGCTTTTTTCATACTTGATTTTTTTCCTTGACGAGGAAAAGCTATAAAGTTTGCCAAAGTGACAATGGCTTCTGACCTTTCAGGCTCTTAAGACGAGGATGAGGGAAAGAGTATAACGGGAAGAAAAACAGCAAAAAGGGGGAGGGGAATTAATACAGTAAAAGACGAGTTGTATGTAGATTTACATGCCAGTGGGCTACTAACTTTCTAATAGATTTAATTTTTTTTCCAGGGCATAAAGATGGTTTCTGGGAAAACGTCGTGGTCAATTTAGCAATGGCAAAGAAGGAGTTTGAAAAATGCTAATTCACAAATTCATTTGAGTCATATTTGAGAAACTTCTTCATGGACTTCTACAGCTATTGTTCTCAACTGAGGCTCTTGACCTATCGTCAGAGTTAAAAAAAATAAAGATTTTGCTTTATAAATAAATCAACATTATTACTTCATGATCTCTTGGTCGACTTTGGTTTCATGTGTAGCACCCTCATTCACAACTTCCTCAATTAAATCTTTCCGGCTCGTTCGGTTCGTTGCTCAATCTAAGACTACATGCCAGCACTTTCCAAAGAATCACTACTTTCATAGTAATTTACTTTCTAAATTGTTTGTTTGTGTTTGAAGATATGTGAAGAGGAGCCCTGTTGTGTGGGAATTTTCTTTTCAGATTTCCTTTAACCAGCTTCAAGATATCAACTGAATGGAAATTCCATCTCCAGTTTTAAAAACCATATAATTTTCGTTTAAGGTAGTAAGAAGTGCATTATAATAAGATAATGACATTGACTGCGCCTTATGATTTTCAGATTTCTCTTACCAGTTTAAGGATATCAGCTAAATGGAAATTCAATCACCAGTTTAACGATATCAGCTAAATGGAAATTCAATCACCAGTTTAAAGATATCAGCTAAATGGAAATTCAATCACCAGTTTAAAGATATCAGCTAAATGGAAATTCAATCACCAGTTCCAAAAACCATATAATTTTCATCTAAGCTAATGCGGAGAAGTATATCATTATGAAATGATGACATTGACCACGCTTTGTCTCCCAATGATGATCTGCCTTAACAATTAGATGCCACAAAAAATTTATATTTTTGATGCGAATAATGAGTCAGAGTAGCAGCTTCTTGTGAACCGCACGATGTGGTTTTCGCGAGTCGATAGCTTGCGGCCAGATCACCATGTTGATTTTGAAATAGAAGCGTCGATGGTCAGCTTCTTACCTCTTGAATTTTTTTGCCTTTTAAATCTAAAAATACGGTAGTAGAGATGTAGTTTTTAGATACACTTTTATAAGCAAAGAAAGAAATCACTCGGTAACAGATCCTTTAAGAAGAGTAGATAGTACTGTTGTCTTTTCACTGCTGTCATCAAACCAATGATCATCAAAGAGGTAAGTCTATAATAGTTAGATCGGTTCTTTTAAACCTTGTCTATCGGCTTATCTGCGTACATCACTCAAATCCATTTTGTTGAAAGTGAATCACAAGAATGAGCTAGATGTTTCAAGAGAGAATAAAAACCATTATTTTCTCTTGACTATTTCAAGTGTTTTTGTCAATAAGAAAATTTCCCAGAAAGTGGAGACATTGATAAGCTTACGCGTAACCTTACCCTCCCCCTGCCGAGTACGGCTACACGTAGGCTAAACATGCACCAATTTTGAAGAAACTTACTGCTGATGATGGCCTTAATAAGATAGTCGAAAAGCCTTAAAATTGTTGGCTGTGTAAAAATAATCTTATTTCTATTCAAAAGAGTCCAAAATAACTGCGAATACTTGTGGAATATTGGGAAAATGGCTCTAAAGTTGTGGGTGCTTTCGATTGGTAAATCCGAATTAGAATTTTGAAATACAGATTTTGTATTTAAAAATGAAAAGCAAAAACGGATTTCGATGATGAAAAATCTGTCCTCAAGATGGATTTTCATTAAAAAATCCAAAGCTATTTTTCTTTTCTTTTTATAGCCAACGGTTAACCTCATTGAGACCCCTCCTAGAAGAGATCCTTTTTGGATTTCCCGGAAAAAGGCAAAACATAGATGAGATCCAGAGCTGGATTTCTTAATTGAGATCCACTTTGAGGATGAAATTCCCAGCGTTGAAAGACGTGTGTTACCGCAAAATCCGAATTCCCGATTTCAAAATCAAAATCCGGATTCGTCGAAGTTAAGCACACAGATTTCTTTAAACACGGAGTCTTCTCTCTGATTGGTCTAGACTACATGTAGCTCTCGACCCAGTTTCTTAAAAGCCACATTCAAAATGGCGCATGAAATGTCGTGAATTTAGAACTGAAAGAATCGATGTCGCACTGAATAGTCGGTTTATTTCGACAGGTGTGTTATGTTTGATAACGTATGATGGTGACCTGTTCTAAAAAACTTGTCTCACCTTCACTTTATACATCGGATGTGTGAAGTAACGTCTTTCTACCAAGATGAAATTCTAATGTTTACAAGGAACCCCTCGACAGGTGAGAGATCTTCAAAGAACTTTCAACCGATTCAGTGTCTATGAAATGTATCTTATTACATAGGAGCATTACGTACTAATTTTTTAACATATTTTGAAAGCACCGATCACCGAGAAATGGGGTGATGGACAGGGTCCTTCAGTCCATGGACTTAACCCCGTTGGACAACTCAAATGAACTACCCTAGCAATTGCACCAACCCTTCGATGTTTTTTCGTTTTGTTTTCGTCAGTCACAACGAACACCACGAAATTTAGGCGATTATTTTAGAAATTCAAAACCCTTCCTTCGAAATATAGCGTGGTCCAAGTGATGTTACATTCTTCAATATCGGTCACGAAGTAAGGCGAGAAATCGATAATATGAAATGTCCTTTAGTATTAATATAGATTGACGCAGATACAAAATGTATTTATGGGACTTGCACAGCCATTTTAAGCTGCATTGTATACATATTTATGGTCAAGAAGGGCAAACCCTTTTTTCTATTTTTTAGTGATTTTCTTTTTCTTAATGAGTTTGGTATTTTATCATAGTGATTTATTGCAACAATGATTGCTTATCACAGGTTGTTAAGCATTAAAATAAGAGCTCAAAATTAATAGAAGGTTAATCCCTTTTACAAAATTCAAATTTCTGATTGTGTTCTTCAAAGTTATTTTTAGTTGTGTTCTGCAGGCATTAAACTTTCTCCCCTCAAATTTTAAATTTAAAGGCTGAAATGTTAATTTCTCTGGCTTTTGGAATATCTCACCTCAGTATCTTTTTCAACAAGTTTCATCATAATCAGTTCAAAATCCCAAAGCATTTTCTGTTCTCTGGAACACTTTCTTGTGGACAAAGAGACTTACATGTAAGAATGTTTGTTATTTATAAACTGTGTGGTGTAGAAAATGAATTTGAGATAAAACTAAATGAACTTTAATTTGTAAAACTTCTTTCAAAATGAAGAATTTGCAATTATTTAGAACAAATAACAGCCTTTCAAACAGAAACACTTTGCTTGAAGATTATAGTCACCTTTGCATTTTCATTCCAAGAGAACTAATATGAATTGGCATGATTTATTTTATGTGAAAGAGATGAAACTGGAAAAAAGAAGAGCACTCAGTATCTTTCTTTTAAAAGACATTAATTTACTTAACATATTTTCATGCGTTTGAACTCTGAATCAGGACATTGAAAATTGGTTGAGCTGCATTAAGGTTTTTTTGGGGCTCAGTGATTACTTAGTGAACTTTTTTAAACCTTTGGCACAATTGGGACTGATGTGTGAGTACCTTTGTAACTTTGTTTTTTATAGTTTAGTTTTCCAGCATTGGGTGAAAGTATTCAAACAGATATTTTGTTGTAATGACATATATTCAATTGATTTGAGATTTTAAAGGCCAGAATTGTTTCCAATGCACCAGCCACCATTTAGATAAAGATGATAGGCTGTTACCAGCTACCAAATTCTTGTAACTTTTAGTACTTTAACCTAGTGTGTATTGGTTTATTTGTATTGTCTATTATCATTTTGATCTCGTTGTTGGTGTTAAGACCCAGCTTTTTACACTCAATTTCTGTTTATATATTTTGCAACATTTTGTTAGATTGATAGAACTTTGTTGCATTATTGTTTCAGTTTATGATTGTTCAGTTGATTGATTGACTGATTGTGACATTGATTGTGATTTGTGGTTCAATTGGATTGCTTGCAAGGTTAAAGATTTGTGTAAATGGTCCACTTTGGTTTGTTACATTTCAATCTTGATCTGTAAAATAGCCCCAAACACCTCATCAACCTCATCTTGGAGCAACACCGCTTGAAATCTTATGAATTAGACTTTTGGTCACCACAAGTGCTACAGATAGAATCTGCATTCATCATTCAACCAGAATCAAATCAGGATTTTTATGTTAAATCAACATTTAATTCCTGTTATTTTTTTCTCCGTTGATTGTTTTCATTTTATATTTTTTCTTAAGTTTGTTTGTGTTTTCCCTCAGTCCAATTGGCTTTAAAAACCAAGTATATAATTATATGACAGGGTAAGCAGTGGTCAAATTAATCCATATACATTGCATGAGATATTATTACATGTAAATGCTGATATTTTTAATGGCAGATTGAATTCATAATACTGCTGAGGTGACTAAAGCAGCAAAAGTTTGAATGCAATTGACAAAATGCAGGATGTTTTTTAACTTTTTTAAGAAAGCAGCTTCATGCAGGTTAAAACAAAAGTTCTTTAGTGGGAGGAGGGGGAGGGGATGCTGCAAACTGCCCCTTGTTAGCTAGGCCCTTGGTTATAGGTCTATCTACCTGTGAACAAAAAATACATTTGATTGTAAGCCTCCCCTCCCCCTCTTGGATATAAGCACCTCTCTAGCTTTTCTTGTTTTAGTGATAAGCAGGAAGCCATGCTGTTGTAAATTAGACATTATTATTTTGATTAAAAAAGCAAAGACAAGCTTCAAGGAAATCAAAGTCTGAACTTCCTTTTTGTTATGTTCTTGCTTTGTCTGTGTTGTTAGGTTTTTTTTGCTCTAAATGTATCAAAATTAGTTCAATTTATTAATGCAATACATGTTTTGATCAGTGCTACTATAGTTTGTGCTTTTTCTGTTCTGGTTAATTTAAACCCTGTAATAGATATACATTATGTTTGTATGGCCCTCCATTTATAAGCCTTCCATCTATAAGCCCTCAATTTATAAGCCCTCCATCTATAAGCCCTCCATTATAAGCCCTCCATTTATAAGCCCTCAATTTATAAGCCCTCCATTTATAAGCCCTTCATTTATAAGCCCTCCTAAAACCCCTTACAAAGTTGCACATTAAGCACAAACATCATTAATGTCTCAATTTATTGTATAGTATTCTTTCTGAGTGGTATGTGTCTACAG